CAATGGGAATACAGTGGGTGAGCATCAGAGGCCAGATTTTAGTTATTTAGATACCACATATTAGATCTCCCTAGATAGGTAAGATTTGGCCCTTTATGTGCTGAGTAGAGTTGTGAAACCATCTTGATTTGCACTTTGAGAGATTTTTGCCCAAGATATCTTAGGTTTTCACATTTTTTAAAAACATTGGGTCACAGGAGAAATTGAGCACATGCCATTTTCAAAAAAAAGGGGGGGGGCGGGGGTGGAGGGAGGGTTTAAACCTAAAGGGAAGGAAAGGAGAATTGATTCCTTCCCTTGAAATATTTGATGTGCTCCTAAAATTATGTAATGGCACCTAGCTGTTCTGCTGATGGGCGCTGTTGCAATAAAAGTTCAGCTCTGCAATCATTCACACTTTTGCCTCAGGTGACATTTTGCCATTTTTGCTATAAACCCGAAAAACTCCCTCTCTAGGAGCAGTGCAAGCGCAGTCTGGAGAGCCAGTTTCAGGCTCTCTTCAGAGACCTCTGCTTATCCTGGATAGGGTAGAGTCACAGGAGCCAAATTTTCTACAGTCATCAAGTATCTGGGCCCGAAGATTTTGCCTGTGTCTCCATGTTGGGTGCACAAGACAGGTGAACTAGGTGTGCGGATGCCAGTTCGTAAATCAACATGTACTCACGTAAAATGGATGTGCTGGCAAAGTTTGCAGGTGCAGCTCAGACAGTCTGCTAGAAACTTAGCCCTTTATTTTTGCATTTCCTGCGCACGCAGCAGGCCAGCTCTGGAGAGAGAATCCTGCCTGCACTGGGCTGCGAGATTGAAACAGTGATGGGGGAGGGCAGTTCAGCCAGCCCACAGCCTCCATCCAGACAAGAATGTAGGTTGGGGAATTGCAGGGGGATATGAGCTGGACTATGTGCTCCCTGAGTGACTGCACCATTTGTATCTATTTCTGAAGGCTGGGCTGTTTGCTGACTCTGTCAGAACTGTGATAACGCCATGTGCTGATTCACTCTGGCGTAGTGTTTCCCCAGGGCAAGCGGTGGAGGATAAGCAAGTCAGGGAGGGCAAGGTTAGAACCTTTGCTTTGGTGTGTTGTTGAAATGCGCTGATTGGGTGTGTGCTCTAGGGCTGGGGTGAGCCGCCCGGCATTGCTTTCAATCCCGTGCGTTGCGCTTCAGAGCCAGGGCACTGCTGAGGCTGCTGCAGACGCATCCGGGAACAAGCTGCTCGGGGGTGGTGACCACAGTGCAGGGGAAGGGGACAGAAAAAGCACCACGCTGTAGTATCTCGTGGTAGAGAAGGGACAGGTGTTCATTGTAATGAATATTATTGAGGCTGCTGGAAAAGGCACAGACAGACCCACTGGCTCTCTGAGGCTCTCCAGCTCCCAGGCCGACTCAACCTATGCTGCCTAGGTCATTGCTAGGACCTAGCAGTTTTGGGCCACAGACTGGCATTACAAAAGTAATTTAAATGTGTCTAACTTGCCTCTTTATTTTAAGTCTAGCATAAGTCCAGGGAGGCTAAAGCAAGTGTCCATTTCAGAACAAGATGATCCTATCCCAGAGCCTCAGATCTTTCAGCTTATGCCCAGGGAGAGAGATGGCCACTTTCTTGGTTCATAGACCAGCTGCCAGAAATTGTATAATAGGCCCTGGTTCGGAGTGTGCTTCAGTCCTTTGCTGAATTGGGGCCGTAACAGGCACGGTGATAAGGGTTCCGAAGCTGGTGTCCAGCAGCAGCTCATGAAGCAAAATGAGAGTCCAAGCCTGAGACCACTTGGATCACCGTCAGGGCTAGCAAGACTTCCCCATAACGACTAGCCAAGCTGAACGGTTGCCCTCTGCAGCTGTTAGCTTTGCTGACAACATTTGTTTTCTACCAAGAAACGACAGTGAATGGCTGGTTCAAAGATCGCTGGCCTATTTTTGAAATTCCTTCCGCCCCTGTGAAAAATCAGTCTTAGCAAATCTTGAAACACAAAGGAAACCCCCTTCTGTTCAAATACTATTACAGAATGAACAGCGACAGACCTGAAATTCTGTCCCTAGCTCCCCTCCTGCCCAGCTAGTGCATCGCATATACCAGTGGTTCTCAACCAGGGGTCTGGGGGGCCACTAGCAGGTTTCAGGGGGTCTGCCAACCGGGGCTGGCATTAGACTTGTTGGGGCCAAAGGCAGAAAGCGGAAGCCCAACTGCATGGGGCTGAAGCCCAGTGCCCCAAGACCTGCCGCATGAGCCAAAGCCTGAGCAACTTAGCTTCGTGGGGTCCCCTGTGGCATGGGGCCCCTGGCACCTGCCCTGCTTGATACCCCCTAGCGCCAGCCCTGGCTTTTATATGCAGAAAAACAGTTGTTGTGGGCCATGGAGTTTTTATAGAATGTTGCGGGGGCCTCAGAAAGAAGAAGGTTGAGAACTCCTGACATATACAATACAGGAGCCCCTACTGTTGCGTTTCTTCTCACAATCTCACCATTGTTGGTGCAAGATCTTTCTCCTGGGAACCCCCCTGCTGTCTTGAACAGCCTCTCTGCATCACTCTGCCTCATCGAATCTCGCCACCTCATTTCAAATCTCATCTGTAAACCTCTCCTCTTCCTCCCCTTGTCTCTGCCTCTTGTGCTTAGGAATGGAATACTTTTGTTCCCTATGCTCTACAGTGGATTTACAACACTGTTTCCTCTCAGATATACTAAAAGATGAGCTGGAATCAGAATCTTTTATCCCAATCTGGTGCCCTTTGATGGTTCTGATAACACGGGATCTGGAGCCAAACCACCCCTCATTTGGGCTTTGCAGAAACAAATTCCAGCCTCTATATGCTACCTCTAAGTTACGCCATTGCACCGCCTATGGTCTTGTGGTGCTTAGCTTTGCATGGACTACACTTTGCATGGAAGATGCTATTCAAGTTGTATTGAAATGTATATTGGAGGAGTGTGTACAAGGTGCATGTATTCATGATAGACACTATGCAGGGAAGAACGCAACTGGCGAAGATGCCATCTTTGCAGGTATCTGGTATAACCCGTAGTCAGAATTCGCTAGCTAGTTGTGACAAGAATATTACAGAGCAGCAATAGAGAGTCGAGACCTTCTTATTCCCGATTATCTGAATGTATATTGTGATCCCCTCCACGTGCATTGCTGTTTTACTGTCGCTGGACTAACTAACCTCTCTTAAGGAGAAGCCCCATTTAACCAAATGAATTCCCTGTCCCCTAGTCTATTTGGATAAACAGGGTTTTGTTGTTGTTCTTACTAGCTAACTAACTTAAGGTTTTCTGTAGCACTCGTCATGGGGAGCAGTTCAATTGATGTCAATGGGATTATTCACCCAAGTAACATTTTGCAGGATTGGGCCCTTGATTTTTGCCTTGTGGCTAAGGTGTGTCAGTATCTGGGATAACTGCTTACCTTGTTGTTTGCCATCTCCTGTGGACAGAAACCCCCTCCCTCCCCCCAATCCCTGCAAAATCTTGGCAGCTTCAAATGAATAGTCTTAGTCAGTCCCTGAGAAAATAGGCAACTGGCTTTCTGACATTCCTGCGGATGGAGCAGGCTGTGCCTGCTATGGTATATATCTGCTGTCACTGCAGCTCCTTCCCAGCAAGGAGCTGAAATCAGCACTCTCCCTAATTAGAAACGCTGCAGAAAGGCAGATGAGGGGATTAAACAAATTGAAGAATAAAATCAACAGCACCTGTCTGAGGGAGGGAAATGGAAATTGCTTCCGGACAGGAGCAATTAAGGCAGAGGAGCCAGGAATGATATAGAAACCACCCGTGTGGCAATTGGAAAGCAAGAACGATCTGTCCTTAACATTTATGCAGGGGAGTGTGTGTGTGTGTGTGTGTGTGTGTGTCTCTCTCTCTCTCTCTCTCTCACATACAATATTTATGGGCGGGGAGGGGGAGTGTCTGTCTGCATCATCAGGACCATCTCACATTCATGTACATTAGTTTGTCCTTTCTGTGCTTGGTCCTCCAAGCTAGGCCTCAGAAGAAGCAGCTTTTTCCAAATCCAGCACAAATATTTTATTTATTTATTTATTCATTCCAATAACACCAAACCAGCCTGTCCTGTAAAATTTGCAGCCTTCGCGCATGAGACACAGAAAGTGGAAACTGACTAGAACTCTCAGTGACGTGGACTGGTCTGTTTTCATTGCTCCAGCCCTAGAGAATGCGAAAAGAAAAGAAGTGAGAAATCAGAGAGAATTATGACCACATTTCATTTTCAGTTCACCAAGGTGGTGTTAGTTATGTAGATGAGGCCATTTTCTCAATGATATCATTTTTAACCTGTCCCTATCCCTTAATGTCCTCCCAGTAGTGGAATCCACCAGTTCAATAGAATTCTGTGGGTGAGAGGAGGAAGAGGCTGTTGCATTTGTGCGTGTTTGTTGTCTTTTTTAAAGGCTCACGAGAACAAGGAATTAAATAGCTCTGGCATGAGCTAAACCTACTTTAAGGCAGAGATTGCGTAAACTTCCCCCAGCCAGCTCTGCTACTGCAGGGCAGTCTTCCTGACTTGCAGCCTCACCCATCTGTACAGCAGAATGTGCTGTGTTGCAGGATTGTTTCCTTTGGCACACAAATGGGGACTAAGCTAGAGAACCGTTGTCTAAACATAGGGCTAGGAACTCCGGAGTTTTAATCCCAGCACTACCACTGACTCGCTCTGTGATCTTGGGTGAGTCACTTGTCTTCTTTGGGCCTCAGGCTCTCCCTCCTGTGAGAAGGGCATAACACAATATTTGCCTACTTCACGGGGAGCTTGGGAGGGTCAATTAATGTTTGTAGAGTGCTTTGGCGATGACCAGGGCTGAGAGCACCCAAACTCGTTTTCACCTATGCTGAGATTTGAACTCAGGTGTTCAGTGCAAAGACAATTATTGCTCCAGCACAGATGCTGCCCTGAGATCCTCCCTTTCCCTTGCTGAACATCTCATAACAGTGACCTGTCTGCTTGTCTCTATGACCTTTCCCACTTTCTTCCTTGTTTTGCAGCCTTACTCCTGGACATCATGATTGTTGCAGGATTGCAGAAGCTGGCCAAGCGACGAGGCCCATACGATGTCCACCCCGGCCTCTTGGACTATCTGACCATGGACATCTATGCTTTCCCAGCTGGCCATGCCAGCCGAGCTGCCATGGTGTCCAAATTCTTCCTCAACCACCTGGTTTTGGCCATCCCACTCCGGATCCTGCTGGTCCTCTGGGCCTTCTGCGTGGGGCTTTCCCGCATCATGATTGGACGGCACCATATCACAGATGTCCTGTCTGGCTTTGTCTTTGGCTACTTGCAGTTCAGGCTGGTGGAGTTGTTGTGGATGTCTTCCAACACGTGTCAGATGATAATATCAATCTGGTGAACACAAGAATCCCTGACAGAAACTAGCAGACACTTTAAGATTCTCTCTCTCATTTTTTTAAAATATAATTCTTCATATTTATTGGGAAAAAAATTAACTTCCATAAGTAGTAGTATTCTTTTTACTGTTGCTCCCCTGCCTGAAAAAAAATGTTTCTTGCAGATGGTTAGGCTTCAGCAATCAAGGGCCAGCTATCACAGTATTTTGGCCACTTTTTAAAATCCCATTTGGATGGTAACCAAACTAAGCAGTAAAGATAACAAAATGAGTTCTCTTTGGATGGTGCACATCTGATGCCCAGGTGTGTTCTCAGAAAACCTGTTATCCCTTTGGGATGCGTTAATTAGCTTCTTGGAGGCAAAACGTTTTGGGGCGAAGTTCTACAGCGCTTTTTCTGTCTGCCAGCCCAACGGTTGTGTCTTGTACAGGGCCGGGCACACTGCCGGCACCTCACAGATAATAAATAATCATAAAAGTTCTGCCATGTTTGTTTCTTATCATATATTAGGGGCATCTCCCAAGGGAAAGTAGTGGAAAACCCATCGATTGGGACTTTTAAGTAAAGGCTGAACAATGCCATGCAGGGAACAGTCCTGCACTGGCCCTTGGGAGACAAAACAGTGGCCCTAATTAGAGCACTTAAACACATGCTTAATTTTGAATGTGTGCTTAAATCTTTTTAACTCCAAAGGAACGTACGCCCGTGCTTGCATCACGTGTTTTGCTAAATAGAAATGAATTTCTGCACATACTTAAAGCTAAACATTTTCTTAAGTAGTTTGCTGAATTAGGCCCTCGATCAGCTATTCAAAATTCTATTCAGCTAGGATGAATGTGTGTGTGTGTGTGTGTGTGTGGGGAGGGGTATTTGTTTTTTGGAAGGACAAATAAAATACACACTTTCCTCATGGTTAAGGGTGGGTGACTCGATTTTGTGTCCATGACAATTTTGAAAGACTGGACTAGATGGGCCCCCATGAGTCTTTTCTGTCTCTTAACTTCTGTGATTTTTAGATTTATGCCAATTAATAAAATGTGGTAAGAGGTGATTTTCATGGCAGCTCCAGTCTCAAGTGGAATGCAATCCAGCACATAGGGAGTATGGTGTACTAACCAGAGTAAGGGATTGGGAGCCTAGAGTTGTCGTTTCTACTCCTGGGCATGGCTTACTTGCTTTGTGACCTGGGCAAGTAACTTCATTATTCCATGCCTCTGTTTCCCCATCTGTAAAATGGGGGTAATGATCTTAGTCTTCCTGGGTTATGAGGCTGAGTTAACTGATGTTTGTGAACTCTTTGAGATTATAGGCTGGCAAGTGCAGCACAAGTGCACAGCATTGTTGTTCTGCGCTATCATCGTGAAAACTGGCCAGTTTATATCAGAATTGACTGTATTTGAAAAATGTGATCCATCTCAGATGCATAATGCGACGACCATATGGGGAAGCCCCAGGTTTTGAAAACTGTCTCCTTCCCCTTCAGAAAAGAGGTCCTGGCATTTGGTGGAGGACCCCACCAGAACATCAGGGTCTCCCATGGTTGGGTGCTTCTTCCCTGCTCCAGGATGGGCTTCTATCTTTCTCCTACTTCTGAGTCCTTGATGGCCCCCACCCCTCATTAAGTCATACAAGCCAGACAAACCTGGCCCGCATAGTGGTAGCCTGCCGGTGCTGCATTCCCATCCGCTCCTGTGTGTCACTACCTGGATCCCAAAGATGTAAGTATCTGCCCACTCCCTCTGACCCGCCTACCAAATGAGAGACCAGACCACTGATTCCGTAGGATTCAGGTAAGCGAGACCATGAATAGTGTAATTTGTGTAGAAACTGCCTGGTGAGACAGAGAAAGCATTTTAGCTAAAGGCTGCTGCAGGTGTTTAACATTTGTTGTTGTGTGATAATTAATATGAAGCACCTATCCCAGGCAGACATCTCCAGCTGGGGAAGACAGCAAAGAGCCTTCAAAGGCATCAACTGAATGCTCTCGCCACGCTGAAATTACAGCAGGCAGAGCGTAGAGAGAGATGCATTTAAAGATGATTGAATCTTACAGAGCTTCCCCTGTGAGCAGCTCCTAAAGAAGTCTCTTCAGGGAAAGGCCTGTGATTGTAGTGAGTGTGACAGGGAAGGGGAGATGTGAACGCTGAGTCCGGATCCTGTTTCTTTTCCAGGAAAGCAGCACCCGTGTTCTTGGAGAGCACCCAAGTGCTGAAGGGTTGGTCTGTCAGTTGTTTGAGCAGTAGTGGGTTAGGTGTGTATAGTGGGTGGGGAGATAAGGCCGGCTTCTGTTCCCATTGCACTCACTGGCAATACGTCTATTGATTTCTGTGGGAGACATTACCGCACTTTGGAAGAGAGGCTCTGATCTGATGTCTGGTTTTGCTACTGGATGAGAAAGAAGAACCAGTGTTTCCTATGCCTCCCAGGGCTGGAAGGGTCTTTGCAAACACCCACAGGTGCTGATTCATGCACAGAAGTGAGCTGTTGCCTCTTTTTCTTCCAGGTTTCCCTGCTCTCAAGATGCTTGACCTCCACCTTCAGGGAGAGATTGAGGTGTGGGAGGGAGCACCCCAAGGTGAGTGTATGTAGCCAGCTGTGTTGGATGGAGAATGGATGTCTGAACGGGAAGGGAGCAGTCGATTCCTCTGTCCTGGTTTCCATGAGGAAACCCATCACTTTTAGGGACCTTTAATCCTAAACCCCAGATTTTCTCACCCCTTTGCTAATGGGCTGGATGCTTCTATAGCTGCACTCCAGGCACTCATTGCTAGGGCCTGAATCTCTTCTCACTTACTCCAGTTTCATGCTGGAGTCTCCCTGCGGGCTTCCGCAGAGTGAGGTTCACAGTGGTATAAGCAGGAGGCATATTAGGCCCCGAGAGCGCAGCGAAGACTTGCTGAGTAACCTCCGTGCCCAGGCTGCTCTCTAGCACCCTCTGGATGGTCGTGAAGTGAGGAGGGGACAGTTAGAGGCCCCAGCTGCCTCTGGGTGGACATTTATTTCCCTGTGAGTGGCTGGCACAGGTTGGCTGGCCCCTCCTGTTGCCCAGGCGGTAAAATGATTTGGGTCATGTGACAGGAAGGCAGCTCAGGCCAGGCCTAGGGCTCTGGACACTCCAGCGAGGATGGGCTGGGCGTGCCAGGCGGGACAAAAGCCTGGGACGCTGCAGCTGGACTGAGGAAGCAGCTGCCGGTGAGTGCTGAGGGGACCGAGGCTGGCTCCGGCAGGAAGCAAGGGACTGTCTGGAGCTCTGAGAAGTGGGGCTGGGGACCCCTGACTCAGGAGGAGAGAACTAGCTGAACTTTGGAACTGGTGCCCAGAGCCAGACGGGTGAAGCCGGTGTGAAGTGCCACATGGCTCGGGAAGCAGGGCTGTGGGCTCCCTGGATTAGGGGGAAGGGCTGGGGCCTGGAGAGCCAACGTGTGTATGGACTAAGTAGACTGGGTCCCCCTCCAGGAGGGCAATGTCAAAAAATGATAGGGCCTGGGTGTAGTTTTTGAGGAGCCCTGTGAGAGATGCAGAGCCATCCCAGGCCACGAGGGGGCGCTCTGGAGGTGACAGTGGTTTACGGTAGTTTGTTTTGGTTTCCCTTAGGTCTCCCCCAGTCAACCTAAGCTAAACTGCAATAAACCTGGTTTATATGGAGGCCAGCCCTAAATCAGTTTAGAAGTCAGTGTGACTGCCTGGTATGGACACTCTGAAATCTGTTCAAGAGAGTACAAGTTACATCAGAATTGGGTGCTCTCCCCCAATCTAGGTGCCCATCAATGGTGGGGGTGTTGCACCAATGGAGTGACTTCAGTGCTCAAACTGTGTAGCCAAGGCCTAAAGCCTCTCAGAGAAGCTGAAAACTTCACACACACAACAGCATTAATACTTTGCCAAGCGTCCAGCTGTGACAGGGCTGGGGCACTGCCTTGTCCCTGGTGAGCAAGGGGTTAACGCTGGCTCAGCTTCCCCTTCCCTTGCTCAGTGGGTAGGATGCCTGTGGAAAGGTTAAACTCCACAGCCAGGTGCACAGAACCCTGTTGAGACCCCAGGCTGGGGAGTTCTGTTAGGTCGGTTGGCTTAGCTGTCTTGTTGCTGACGGTTCACCTTGAGGAAAAGCACTCGCTGACGGCATGTATCTTCCACTGACCCCTTGCCCAGCATGGCTCTACCGCGGTACCTAGCCAGCTTTCCTCTCACCTCCCTTCCCCCGGCAGAGTCTGAGTCTTCTCTGCTCTCCCCTCCACCTTCAGTAGATCCTCTCCCATGAGTGGCCATGGGCCCTGCAACCCAGGCTCTCATTATAAGGGCACCGGTGAAAGTGCCCCTGAGTCCTGGGCCGATGCAGAGAGCGCCCCCCAAGTGGAATCCCTGCTGCTGACTCTGGGACGTGAGTCGCTGCCCCTCCGCTATCTGTCTTTAGACTGACAGTGCCATGCTGACACAACAAGGCAGAGGGCACAGAGCACTGGGAGGAAGGGGAATTTGTTCTACTCTGCTCTTTATTTCCTCATTGTCCTGAGCCGCGCAGGGTGCAGGGCCCCCATTGGCCGAGCTGTCATTGGCCGACGAGACACTGGGCTGCGTCTGGACTCAGGGACACATAGAAAATCCATTTGCAGAGGCTAAGTCGGCTCTCGAAGGATGCGATTGTGCCTCTGGGTTAGAAAACAACCAGTGGAGCTGTGTGCAGTTCTAGCCTCAGCTGAACGAGAGGATCCTGCCTCTGTCACTATAGCAACAGACCGGGATCGCAGGATACCCGGTGTTCCTTGGTCAGCGTTGCTCAACTCCTGCACCGGGGCTGAGCGGAGCTCCTTGAGCTTGCTTGTCCAATGGCTCTGGCATGAGCTTCAGCGGGCGCCAGGGCAGGTCTCTTCCAGGACAGCCACGCCACTGCAGCCCTTTGGGAGGCAGGTGCCTTTGATCGCCATTATAAATCACGGCAGTCTTACAAACGGGCCTTCAGGGCAGGAATGGATGGGTTATTGATTAGCTCCTCGGGGGAGAGGGGAGGGAGGCACGGAATTCACCGACTGACAGAAACGGCTTTGAAGCAGCGTTCTCTGATTGTAGTTTAGAATCGTGTGGGTGGCAGCGGCTGGGAGACCACAATGCTGCAGCCTATAAGATAGAATCCAAGGGGATTTGTTTTAGCTTTAAGCTTTGGTATAAATCATACAGACCTACTTTTATGATGATTGCCGTTTGTGCTAGTGATAAGCCAGGATGGCAGTGGGGTGATGGGATTGGATGGTGTGCACTGCAGTCGCAGAAATTCAGGGCCTGATTTGCCTCTCATCCTGGTATAAATCAGGAATCACTTCACTGAACCCAGTGGAGTTTAAACTGGTGTAAGTGACAGGAGAATCCGTCCCCCGTCCCGCATTTATATTTCATGCACCACAGGCGCTTACTTCTTGCTAGCGTCTGATTCCTGCTCACCGCTCAGAACGGAGACACAGGCGTGGGTGTTTTTAAAAGCAGGGCTTT